ACTGAATCCAGGAGTTTGAGACCAATTTGAGCAGTGTAGTTAGAGCTGCAGCCCCCCCTTCAAAAAACCACCACCACACACCAAAAAAAACAGAAAAAAAACAAGGCATGGGCCTCTCCATTAAGTAATTACCCTATTATAAACAATTTACAACTGGGAAATAGTCAGCTGCCCAGGGATTCAGTAAACATTTTTAAAGGTCAATTATGAGAGTCTGAGTCTGGATTCATATATTGTATCATATTCTCATGGCAGATCCTGGAAGCCAGGAGGAGCGAGTATTATTTTACCAGATGTGGAATCTGGAAGAACAAAGAAACTCTGCAGTTTGCTTAAGACCACAGTTGGCTGCAAAAAAAAACAATTAAAATTGAGGTCTTCAAATGCCCAACCCCATCCTTATCCCCATTACAAATGTCCACCTGTCATCGGATTTACATTGGCTTTGATTGGTTAAGCAATAGATATGTGTGTAAGGAAAAATAGTAACAATAGTAGCAGCTGCTTTTGCCCAGTGCCCAGTGCATGCTGAGTTCTTCCTGTGTCCTCTACTGCTCGGGACCCTGCCAAGGCTGAGGTCACATAACTGCCTTGCACAGAGCATTGTGATAAAGCAGACATTATTCGAATTCAAGCTTCTTGAGCTTAAAAGTCTAGGATTTTCCTTACTCCAACATGGGTGTGAAATGCCTCTCCCAAATCTAAGGTGACATTCACTGCAGGTGACATTCACTGGCTAGATAATGACTTATGGCGGCACTGTATGTACTAGTAAGGATTGAATGAATCAACTCATCTCATAAAGTGCTCTGGACCAGTTTCTGGCATCAAGTAAGGGTTCCGTAGCTAACGATGAGCAGGGGTAGCAATGAATGAAATTGTCTGAAAGGCACATGACATATTTCTCCTTTAGCTTTATCTGCCAGCTAGCTGCACACATGTATTTTTGTTTGGTTTGGTTTGGTACTGGAGATCGAACTCGGGACCTTGCGCTTGCAAGGCAGGAAGTGGAACCACTGAACTAAATCCCCAGCCCAGCACAGATGTATTTTTGTACCAAAATCACCAGCCTTCTCTTCTTCATCAGGTGCTGCTCACAAACAAGCAGATATAATCAGTCAAAAGCTCTGCCACATAACTGCCTCACAGAGTGATTCCATATTGAGTTCACTTCGGGAACAACTCGGGAATGAGACATTGTCCTTGCCCTTAATTCCAGTTGCCAGGGGAGTTGCAACGGCTGCAGATGAAATAACAACTGGAGAAATTCTTTAAATAACCGTGCCGTGCATCTTGCCCACAGTGTGGGTGCAGAAATACCTGTGGATTGCATGCATGCTAAATTATTGGTACAAAGTGATAAATCAGGGAGGCAAAGGAAAACTGAGACGAGAAAGTCCCAGAAAGCAGGAAAGGACTTAGCAGAAGATAATAAAGAAAAGACAGAGAAACAGAGATAGCTGGATCTGCCCATAAACCGATTCACTGATAAACTTTCAGAAAGCAGAGAGGAGCAAGCTAGGGCAAGGGGCTGTGAGGAAAGAGCTCTGCTCGGGTGGACCCTGCTTCCCCTTGGCAGGCGTCCTGTGAGCCCAGCTGCCCACTCCCACAGCTTTCGGCAAGGCAAAGCCTTCTTATTTTGACCACTTCAATGGCTTTGCAGCTTTGGTTTCAGAGTAATTCTTTTTAAAACCCACCTTCCTTGCCCCCACCTATAAAGTCTTCAAGTACGATCATCAGTTTAGCGGCAGCGATTTCAAGGTTTGACTGCATAGTCATAAAAATGGCCGCAATACGGAGCACTAAAATGACTGTGCGAGTGTGTGGTAATTATATTTCACTGAAATTCATGGTATGCTTGCCACTTAGGTTTCCTAAGCCTCTAGCCAATTACATTATCTGATAAGGTCTGTGACTTTTTCAGAGTCTTCGTGGCAGAGAAAGTAAGTGACATGTTTGTCAGTGGCTCTTGCTTTATCCAAGTGTGCATGTAGTTGTATATCTGTCATGTGTATGGTATATGTGTGTGTTTGCATGCCTGTGCATAAATACTTGCTTATATGTATTTGGGGGTTGGGTTTTTTTGCTTTTGTTTTTGTTTTTGTTTTGGAAGGATTGAACTCGGGACCTTTGCTTGCGAGGCAGGCGGCGGCGGCACTGAGCTAAATCCCTGGCCCTATGTGTTTGATTTTGTATGATACATCATCTTATCAGAGACGGTGCCAGACATTCAAAGTGGTTAGATTTACTCTTCAGGAAGGAAGCACTCTTTCCCTTGATCTCTATCCCATCGGAAATTAATGAGGAACTTAGCTAATTGGAAACTGCAGGTTGGATTCCAAGTAGGCTAAGTCACTAAAAATTCTGCCTACACCTTTGTGTTCCATAAGAATCTACCTGCATCTATGTGAGGTCTGCTATGAGACAGAGAGAGAGAAAGAGAGAGAGAGAGAGAGAGAGAGAGAGGAAGAAAGGAAAGACAAAAAGAGAAAGGAAGGAAATGTTCTGTAATGCATTATGATTATAAGAATACAGAAAGTTTTTATTACCCTGGTGTGACTTAGAAATTAATATTTAGCCAGGCACAGTAGCACGTACCTGAAGCCTCAACCTCTCAGAAGGCTGATGCAGGTGGATCAGTGGAGTCCAGGACTTCGAAGCCAGCTTGATCAACATAGTGAGACTCTACCTCAAAGAAAAAATAAAGGTAGACATAGTATAATGGACATATTCAACCACAAGTCATTCCCAAAATTTCAGACCCACAAAAAGTTACTTGTTTGGGCAGCACTTTTCACCAGCAAGAATTCTTTATGGTGTGTCATTATTTCTTAGTAGAGTTGCCTTTTCAGCTCTGAGAACTTCTCTGGCACCTTCTCCAGCTAAGTGGACACATCTGTGAGTGCCACATGCCCAGGCCCACTAATCAGTGGTCCCCATGTTAAACAGCAGGACCTGTGGACTAGCTTCATGCAATTTTCAGCCAAGTCTAAGTCACTTGTTAGGTAACTGGGAAGGGAATGGTAAAACTTGGCTGTTCCTCAGTAGAACACATCTCCTGCAGGATAGGGTTGCCATGCTGTTTGCAGTCCTCTGTCCAACTTGAATCACTGTCTGACCTAGTTGTGTTAGACTTCTAGGCCTGCTTTTCTTTGCCACACCCATAAATGACATTTTTCTCAAAGACTCATGCATCTGAGCTACTTAGACCTAAATGTATTCCTTCTTCCTTCACCACAGCCTCCATTTGCACAGAGGTCCAGGAACCAGCCACAATTAAAGCACTGGCTCTTAATCCCAGAGGCACATTAGAGTCACTTGGGGATCTGGTGAAAAATCGTGGAGTCTGGCCACATTTGAGAGTCACTCATGTGACACAACTCCCTTGTAATCGACTTAATTTTACTTTGTGTCAGTTAAACCTTCTCTTAGTCCTTAGATCATGTTTTGTGTTGTCTTTTTATGGCATGGTAAATAGTCAGTTGAGTTGTCTTGTCCCTTGAGCTCCTACTTCCCTGGATCAAGATGTTGAGCCTTCTAGTCAAGCCAGACAAGAAAGGTGTAACTTCCTGTGGCTTGAACTGAGATTGTAAAACATTGCAGGTGTAGAGAGTTAAAGCAAAATCATAAAGCAAGGCCTACATAGCTGGCGTTTGGGAATTATACGATAGAAATAGGTCTTACAATTCAACACCTACTGAGACATGCAACTCCCTTAACAGAAAACGGTGGCACTCTGTGTCTCTAGTTCATTGTAAGTACTTGTGTGCCATTTTGTACGTGAGTCTCATTCATTTCCTGACCTTGCATTAGGACACTTTGCAACCAAACTGTCCCCCAAAGTGTGGTATTGGCACCATGTAAGGGTAGGAGACAATTTAATTTAATTTATTTATTTTATTTTATTTTATTTTTGTTACCAGGGATAGAACTTGGGCTCTTGCGCTTGCAAGGAAGGTGCCGGAACCACTAAGCTAAATCCCCAGTCCAATGGGAGATGATTTTAAATGATTCATGAAAAAATTTATTTTTAAAAAGTATTTACGTAAATGTATTTCAAAATATACAAGCAGCCAGACAACCCCATAACTTTACAGTACACATGTTATTATTACATTGGCTGCAGTTCAGAAATGTATACACTTAAAACTATCCATACAGAACATTGCACAGGTGTTATCATATATGAAAGGAGTGAAGGACAAAAGTTTGATGAAACTACGGCTTATCAGCATTTCACTTGGAGTGGTCGACTTCGAATTAGGGCCTGTATTCTTCCTGCCTCCCAAACTGTATCAGGGAGAAAAGTGTGAAGAAAGAAAAGTACAAGAAGCGGCGAGGGCTTTAACATCTAAAGGATCCCCTGAAATGCCTTTCAGGGTGAAGAGAGGCTCTTCCAGCGCGTTCTCCAGCTGTCCTGGCTGCTGCTGGGTGTGTGCAGGGTTTGCAGAAGGAACGCAGGAAGGGAAGGAACCCTGCCCGGTTTGCTAAGGTCCAGGGTACCAGAGAATTGGCTGCACCTGTGATTAAATTCCGCTCTGTCTCCCTCATGCGCCACTCTGCCCTGGCTCGCGTTAGAAGTTCAGAAGCGAAGAACAAAGCGGGCAAGTTTGTTTTGCTAGAGCAAGCCGGGTCTGCTGAGATCGGTCCTCACAGCTGTCCCTGTGTCTTAGTGAACCAAGGGCTTTCACATGTTTCGTTCAAGACTGTTTAGTCTGAATGCTGCGGATCTGTGTATCAGATTCTGGCTCTGGTGTCATTGGGGTGGTTCTGATTTCCAGCGATTGCGTTGTCATCTGTATTTGCCCAAAGTGAAAGAAATAGAACTGAGAGAGGCGTTATTGCACGGTCACTTAAAAGCCTGTCCTTCTCCATTCCTTCTCTTTAATGGCATTGCCAGTGCTTCTCAACAACAACAAAAAAAAAGCCCTCGGGCTGCCGTCCTTAATAAGTAACATCTGGCCTGCAGTCCGTCACCTGCTTTCCTGTTGGTTTTGCAGAAGTGGCAGTGCACTGAGGATACATCTGGCAAGCTTCGCATCCACAAATGCAAAGGACCGGGCGACCTGCTCACCGTCCGGCAGAGCACGCGCAGCCTCTACGCTGGAGGCTTCCACGACAAGGACAGAGAGTGCACCTGCAGGGAGGCTGGTTATCGCCCCAGTCGAAGCGAGAGGAAGAGCCAGAGGCAGTTCCTGAGGAGCCAGGGAACCCCAAGTAAGCCTGCCCTCCTTCCAGGACCGTCTCAGAGGCGGCGGAGGCCTGGGAGAGACGGAAGTTCTCCTTGTACGTTTTAGATGTTATCAGCGCACAGTTTTCCGGCTAGAAGAAAACTGCTCTGTTTAAAATAAGAAAGCTAAGATTAATTTGAGATTTTTTGCTTTGTAATATTCTCACTTAAGCATAGAATGAGCATATATTTAGTAAAAGCACCAAATGCAAGACATATGCACACAGAAAAGAGCTATATAGTAGTTATTCAGTTATTCCAGAAGATAAACGTATGGTTTAGGTCGGTTTTATTTTACTTTCACGCTAATATTTTGATTTGTCTGCCCTAGTCTGCTTTTTAAAAAGTCCAAGGTATCAGTGCGCATGTATTTAACTTGAGACAAAAAGCATTAACATTCTTTTTAAAGCCACATATTTTAATCTCTGTACTAGGACACTATATTTGTTTTAATTTTATCAGATAGTTGGATCTTGTTGACAGACAGGGTCAAACTATTCAAATTCAGGGTAAAATGCACTGCCTGGTACTTTGTTTATAAAAATTACAAGATGCCTATGATTATGAATAAATAGGAAAGCACAGGCCTGCAGCTTCCCCTGAAGAATGTGAGACTGGTGCCATCTAGTGGTGAAATATAGGAAGTGGCTCAATTCTGTGATTTCGAAACAAAAATAAGCAATATGCATTAAATTCAATATTGTGTGCAAGATTTGGAAATTACATCTTCTATAAAAAGAGAAGAAATCCTTAGAATGAGTGTTTTTATTCTGGACAAGAAGGCCTTAGGGTATTTCATCCAAAATTGTGAGTATATTCATATACATATATGTGTGTGTGTGTGTGTGTGTGTGTGTGTGTGTGTGTGTATTGTGCACATGTTTCTCAAAGTCAATAACTTTCAACAAATCCTCAAAGAAATCCATAATCCAAAAGGCCAGGAACTATTGAGTTAGGAGGTTTTCTTTCTTCCTGGAAGAAAATCCCAGATTTAATCATCCACACAGTAATATCATATTTAAAATCAGCAAGGAACAAGATTCCCTGACTCTCTTTGAATAAAAGCAGATTGTCAAATTTCAGTTTAGAGACAGGGGTCCCCTCTTCTGTTCTGGAAATTAAACATCACTTTCCAAGTGCTGACTTTAAAGTACGTGGACTGTTCAATTTTGAGCACAAACAAAAATCTAGGACAGCGTTCTCACCTGTGTTTTGTTGCTGTTATTCTGTTTTGTTTTGTTTGTTTTGGGGTGTTTGCTGAGACTGAGCTATTTTTCCCAACGCTTTTAAATTTTTGTTTTCATTTTGAGACAGGGTCTGGTTGAGCCATTAATTTGACCGTACTGGGCTCAAACTTGTGATCTTTCGGCTTCAGCATCCTAGAAAGCTAGAATTATAGGCTTGTGCCACCATGCCTGGCTATATAGCTTTTTAAGAAAAATCCCAGTATGTCCCATGCAACACTAAAGTATCTTTAGTGTAAGTGTGTTCTTTAGCATTGCCCAACTTCAACTGTGTATTCAAGAGCGGGGCTAGGTGTCGTCTCCCCGCCATGTTGGAACCCTCAGTCGTGGAGGCTGCTCCCTTATCTAAAAACTGCAGGGCCCTTGCACTTGCTGTCTCCAAGACTTACCACTCTGATTCTCTGGCCTGTGTGCCCCTCTTCTTCCTAATATGACAAGGCCTGGTGACTATGCCTGCACAGAGCTGAGGCAGCATCAGGTAAACTGGGCCAACATGCATGTGAGCTCTGGACAGTGTCCCTTACTGGCCTGTGCGCAGCCTCACTCCCCACCTGCCAGGTATGAAAAGTCATTTGGCTGCGGCAAGCATTCCCAGCATTTTGTGATTCTTAGAGCAATATTCCCGTTTGTACCAATGAGCATCTAGACTTTCGCGCTTTGGGGAAAGCAGCCAAAGCCTGACAAGACTGTAGTCTGAAAGTTTCTAGTCCTAGCTTCCTTAACCGTACAAAATGTACATAATGCTCAAAACTTTAGTTTCTGCTTCATAGAGGCAGAACATTAACACCAAATTCACACACCTGGCTGGGCAGTCTGAGATTTTTAGGAAAGGCTTTATCATAATACTTGTCTTTTAGGACTGCGGAGTAGAAATAAATGGAAGGGGTGTTTGGCATAGTGAAAGCTCAGGAGGAGGTCATCGTGATTAATACCACAACTGGAAACAAAGCTTTATCTGAATAAACTGCCACAGTGGTTCACATTGAGAACTAGATGTAGAAATTCTCGGTCGGCCCTCAGTGCACAGGATCTTAGCGACCACCCCATCCACCCACGACGTGAGGATGAAGCCCCACAGAAGTGAGTCTGTCACACTGCGGTGCAGTGGCCCCGCTAGGACAAGCACCTCCTGTCCTGCCATGAGCTCCAGGGTGCCAGTATGTGTGAGGTCCCCACAGCAGCGCAGCCTGTCCCGCTTGTCCCTGCCCGAGATCCTCACTGTGGCAGGTGATCATCTCCTCCCCTCCTAACCTCCTCAGAGCATCCCGATTAACTCCTCTTCCCTCACTTCCAGAGTATAAGCCCAGGTTCGTCCACACCCGGCAGACCCGATCTTTGTCTGTCGAATTTGAAGGCGAGATATATGACATCAATCTGGAAGAAGAAGATTTGCGAGTGCTGCAGCCAAGGAGCATTGCTAAGCGTCACGACGAAGGCCACCAGGGCTTAGGGAGTCGCCAGTCAGCCAGTGATGGCCACGACGAGGAGATGCTGGCGGACAGCAGCAATGCCGTGGGCCTACCCACTACCGTCCGCGTGACACACAAGTAAGGACGCTTGGGTCGTTGACTGGATTTGACCTCAGAGTTCCCTCTCTCGCCCCATGCGATCACTATTCTGCACTTTGATGAAAGTGGTGTAAGCAGTAGCTTTTGCAGGCCCCTAGGGTTAAACAGAAGCATGTGCAGACCTCTGGAGCCTTCTGTGCTGGGCACCGTGGCCTAGGGTGTTGCAGTCACAGCCTCAGAAATGCAGTGTGGCCCACATGAGGACAGTGGGTCCCAAAGCTTCTAGGAGATTGGTGTTGGGTTGGGAATGGATGTAAGATGCAGAACTACCAACCCCGTCCCTGGTCGTGGAGAGCAGAAAGGGCTTCAAAAGGCATGCGGACAGGCAGGTGAGACACTCGCCGTAGCTTTGGTGAACTTACTTGGTTCCTCCCAAATCGATAAAGAAATACTTTCTCAGTGCATTTTATCAGGTATTAGAAGATCTTCGTTTCATCCCTAATTTCGCCATTCTGAGGACGTGGGGTGCAGTGAGCTCTGCCCGGATTTTCCCCTCTGGCACTCACAGTGGTTGAGGTCACACACTGAGATTACTCAGCTTGTTCCTCTGACACGACGGATTGATCTATGTCCCACCTGCTTTCCCTCTGCCGCTGCTTCTGTTCCACAACTCCACGGAGGGTGTAGCTGAGTGGAAGAGAACTTGCCTAGCACGCACAAGGCCCTGCGTTTGATCCCCAGTGGCACAAAAAAAATTTTTTAAACTTAATGAATTTCATAAGCTCTTTTTTAACAAAATGAGTGGGACAGAGTAATTTTTCTGCTTCTCAGCATTTCTTCAAGAAAAACACTTGCAGTATGACTATGAAAACCTCTGTTTTCCTTCTTTGAGTATTTGCTCGGGCTTTCAAAACTTCAGTTTCAGGTTTGCGCCTGTTCATGGGGCTATGAATATTGGAAGCTGCCTAGCAGGTGATCGCGGTGACGGTGTGAGTGACCGTCTGAGTTACAGAGGTGTGGCACCATTCTCTGTCTACTGGTCACCATGACACATTCTCCTTTACCATTGTCTGGGGATTAGCACCGAACTAGCTGCCGGTATCCACAGCAAGAGTTTTTAGGAAATAAGTTATCTTTGCTATCACTAGTGTTTTCTAGTATTATAAATCAACCCCCCCCCGCTCCGGCTTGTTTTACAGGTGCTTTATTCTTCCAAATGACACAATTCATTGTGAGAGAGAGCTGTATCGATCAGCCAGAGCCTGGAAGGACCACAAGGCTTACATTGATAAAGAGGTCAGCCTGGGGGCTGGGTACGGCTGGGTGCGAAAGCGCTGGCCTAGTGCGTGTGGGACCCTGGTTTGAGCCCCAGTGCCACAAATTAACACAAAACAGAAGAGGGCAGAGTGCTCTGCGTTTGTGAGGTGCATCTCAGATGCAGACTGAGCGTGCTGGTGAACACATCGACTTTCCATAATTACGTGAAAATAGGAAACAAGGTGCCTGCCCTTCCCCGGAAATGTAGGGACAGTACTGTGAAAACCCTGAAAGTGTGGGAAGTGAAAAGGGATGGACTCAAAACGCTTTCGCAGTCTCTTCAAAAACATGATTCAGGGGCTGGGGATTTAGCTCAGTGGTTCCGCTGCCTGCCTTGCAAGCACAAGGACCCGAGTTCGATCCCTGGTACCAAAAAAAAAAAAGACTCAGCTATAAAAGCGGCACTCCTTGATGTCTACCCGTTACACATTCATTGGAATATCAAGACAGATGTGTCTGCGGCCCAGCTTGTTTCCAAATTGTCATCTTAAGTAGTTCTCGTTAAGGAACACAGAAAACAAGGTGAAAAGTAAGTTTCAGTGCAGGGAAAAACTTGGTCTTAAAATGTAACTCTTCAAATGCGCGTTTCCCAGATTGAAGCACTGCAAGATAAAATTAAGAATTTAAGAGAAGTGAGGGGGCACCTAAAGAGAAGAAAGCCGGAGGAATGCAGCTGCAGCAAGCAGAGGTGAGCATCTGTCCACAGCCGCCTGCCGGGCTCCCAGGGTGGCGCTCGGGGTGACCGCATTGTCACGCGGCACGATGCCCTCAGCTAGGTCAGGTCCCGTGGGCCACAGGCATAAGCAAGGGGTTCAGAAGAAAAGCCCCATTACCCCAAAACAGTGACAAGAGGGTAGCTGCCTGCCTTCCGTGTTGCTTTCTCTTTATAAATCGAACTGTCTGATCAAATGCAAGGTGAGGAAGACTCACTTTGTTATCTTCTGGCCTGCAGCTATTACAATAAAGAAAAAGGTGTGAAAAGGCAAGAGAAGCTAAAGAGCCATCTTCACCCATTCAAGTAAGTTATTCCTTCTTTTCCATGTTTCCTAGAAGTCAAGGATGGTCCTTTGCCATCAGAAAGGCCGGGGCTGGGCTTTAGCTCATTGGTGCTTCTGGGCCTGCCTCTTAAGCACAAGGTCCCGAGTTCAATCTCCGGTACCCCCAAAAAAAAGGAAAGAAGAAGAAGAAAAAAGCAGTGGGGGGTCCCTGTGTTCCCCACAGTACAGCTCTGGAAGCAGTAGGTCCCCCCAGGAGGGCTCAAAATGAGGAAAACTTGTGTCTGACTGAGCTCCCTGAGATGCACACAGGGTGTGTGCATCCCACTCTATCTCCAGCAGGGGGCGTGGGACTGGGTGTATCTCAGTGCACCCCATTCTGTGGCGAGTAACTGAGCGTTAGACTCTTGATTAGGTTGGTGGAGCAGCCTGTACTAGGGTGGAATTCTAAAATGCAAAGAAATATGCAGATATTTAAAATAATACCTAATTTTTGCATGTGAAGTTTTAATATTTGAACCTCAACAAAGTTTAAACTTGTGTGGAAAAATACAGATCGTTGAAAAAAGAATTTTTTTTAAAAATCGGTTATCCGAGCCTATTTTGTATAATTTGTCAAAGAATTGTTAAAACCTAATCCAAAATACCTGTTCATTAACCACTTTACTGACAGGTACTAAGCAAGCAGAAAATTAAGCCATTTGTCCAAAAGGTGTGGCTAGCAGGACCTCCGATTCCTAATGACATTAATCTCCAGCAATGCTTAATGTTAATAAGGAAAAATCTACTGGTCTGGTTAAAGTTTAATAAGGCTCTAAGAGAGTTATCAGTTAGGCCCTCTGTAAAAAGTATATCTAACCCGCAGGGGATTAAGCTCAGCAGCGCCACTCCTGCCTGGCAAGCACAAGGTCCTGAGTTCAATCCCCGGTACCAAAAAAAAAAAGACACGTAGCACATTGTTGTGGTTGGCATTGTGTATCTAAATATTTGTGCAAAGCTCATTACGATAGTCCTCAGAATGAACGAGGTACCTTCTGATCAACAAAACAAAAACCCCTTCTATTGGAACAGGGAGGCGGCTCAAGAAGTAGACAGCAAGCTGCAGCTTTTCAAGGAGAACCGTCGGAGGAAGAAGGAGAGGAAGGAGAAGAAACGCCAGCGGAAGGGAGAGGAGTGCAGCCTGCCCGGCCTCACCTGCTTCACACACGACAACAACCACTGGCAGACGGCCCCCTTCTGGGACTGTGAGTGGCTCAGTCTAAACGCTGCTTCCTGCAGCTGTGCAGAGAGCGCAGCCCAAAGCCGGGGTCTAAGAAAGCATTATCTCACACTCTGCACTGGTACCTTGAATCCTTTTGCCGAAATGACATGTTTTGGTATCCTGATTATAAGTGTCAAGCTTGTCACTGGCGTTTCCTCTAATCATGTTGGTACCTAGCTGCTGGTACCTGGCACAGTTCCTGCCCGTAAGACTGTTTCGTATGTCAGTCGCGATAAATGCACGGGCAGTTTTGGGCTGAATAGGTTTTGTTTCTGCTTTATTTCAAGTGCTTAAGGAAAGTGTAACAGGAGAGAGTGAATGAGGGGCAAACGCCCCTTATGCGCAGGCCCACACCTTGCTGACTCGCCCATTTCAGGGACAGCACCGCTTATGGAATACTGCGGACGCCACACAATCTTTTGGTTTTACCTTGAATTGCTGAGGATAAGGAAAGATTGCACTTTTTTAAATGGTGCTTGCTTCCTAAAGCGGTGTGCACACTGCATGCCCCGCAGATGTAAGGAATAATGCCCTGGACTCTTGTGTTCCGTCATCTGATTGCAGGCCCACCAGCCCACGGCTGTGCCCTGTCCTCCACTGAGACAATCACTGGAGACTGCACAGCCAGTGTCTCTCCAGATGGGACTTGGAGCCTCAGAGAATGCACAGCACATCCTTGGCCGGGATTGAAGGCCTATCCAGGGGAATTGCTGTTCTGATGCCTTTTGATTCGTGTCCACGTTTGCATTTATATTCACCATCACATCAAAGCCAAAGGACTTTTAAAATCGCAACATTGAATTTACATGCATTCTTGCAGTGGAGACAGAGGTCTTGGAGGGTCAGATTGCTGGGGGTCTGCACTCTGCCAGGCTCCGAGCTGAGTCACCTTGATCTCTGCCACCCTCACCCTGACATTCTAGTGGGCGATGGTAAAAAAAGGTGAAGGAAGCAAATAAAGCAATTAAAAGTTGAAGTCATTCAATGAAGGAAATAGAGATGAAAGTTCCTAAAGGGATCCTTTTAGACAAGGTGAAGACATTGGTATTAATCAGCTTTCTGTCGCTATAACAAAATAACTAAGACAATCAATTAAAAAACAGTAAAGGTTTTTTCTGGCTCACAGTTTTGCAGGTTTTGATCATAGGCACAGTCCACTGGCCTCATTGTTTCTGGGCCCTGGCGAGGTAGCACATCGTGGTGACAGTGTGTGGTAAAGGAAGCTGCTCCCATCACAACAGCAAGGAAGCAAAGAAAGAGGGACTGTGCGACCCAGACATCCCTTTCCAGGGCACACGAAGGCTGCCCACAAAGCCCAGATCCTATCGTGCCACCCTGAGGGAGGATCTGTCCCAGATCTAATAGTAACACCTCTGCAAGGAGGTGAAACTTAAGCTGAAACCTGAACCATGAGAAAAACCATCGTGCAGAAGGGAACACTGCTCCCAGTTAGGGGAACAGCATAAGCAGGGGTCCCAAAGAAGTAACACATTTGATGCGGCCGGGACTGGAAAGTGTCCTGAAAGACGATGCATTCACAACGGGAAGCTGTCATCATGCCAGAGGAGGTCCTCGTGCGTCTTGTCTGGTTCCCTCACCTGGGTGAAGGCCATCCCACCCACACCACCACCATTTCTTACTCCAGCCACTGCCAAACCTCTCGTGTGGTCTCCCAGGCTCCTCTTTTGTCTCACCCATCCATCTGCAGAGTTAGAGTGATCTCTTCATGACATCCTGTTTTGCCCTAAAGAGCCAGATCCTTATACTCAAGAAAGCCCTGGCTGCTACAACCCAGTCCCGCTCTGGAACACTTTCCTCCTCCCTCTTACTCTCACCTACTTCTGCTGCTTCTGTGTCCTCCTCGTGCATTCTAAGCCTCTCTTACCACAGGGTTGTTGTGTACATGGCTTCCCCTTCCAAGAGTTCTCTTTTCTCTGTGCTCACGCACGGGCCTACCAAGCATCTTTTGATCCTCCAAAGCTCAGTTGCAATGTCTCTTCCCACAGCTTTCCTGGGCCTCAGACTAGGCTCATCCCCTGCTACACGGCCAGCCCTCCGTAGCCATGGTTTCTGCATCCATGATCGGAACAGCCACAGATCGAAGATACAAAAAAAAAAGGATCTGTACTGAACATGGGCAAATCTGTTCTCCTGTCATACCTGCTGAACCAAACTGCGCGACAACTGTTTACACAGCATTTACATGGAATCAGGTGTTAGAAAGACTAGTGATGATTTCAAGTATGTAGGAAGCTATGTGGGTTCTACGCAAGTACGGTGTCGTTTTATAGAAGGGTCTTGAGTATCACATTTGATAATAGCAGGGTGATAGGAACCAGTCTCCTGAAGATCGCAAGGATGACTGCAGTTTTGCTCTGTGCTTATTAAATATGCTTTTTTAAAAAACTCAATGTCAAACTTACAATGCAGTGAGGCAAAAAGTCATTTTGTTTTGAACACATGTTCTTAACGGCTGCCTTTATCTAAAAGATGACCCAGAAAAATGTGCTGATCCAATAGATATGCATCAGTAGCATGCTGAGTAAATCAATTTATTCAAGTTTTTAACAAACATTCATTTCATTTCATTTCTACTGAAATTGCACTTTTAAATTTCTATCATCTCCATCTCTTTATCCCCATTTTACAGGGGCAAACTTAGTGTCTAACGCTGCACCCAGCTAGGGGAGTGTGGTGGCTGAGGGTAACCCTTTAGTCCAAATCCCCAGGCTGCCAGCCGTCAATTGCTTCACCTTGGACAAATTACTTAACCTCTCTGTGCCTCAGTTTCCCAAACTGAAAAAATGGGTATGATGATAAAATCTGTCCCAGAGGGTCATTTGAGAATTAAACGAGCTATAAAGCAACCCATAAAGTGTATGAGAATACTCATTAAGTCTGCCTATCCTAACTTTTTAAAAAATTGTCCGCTGGTGTATTTCTGAAACTCAAACACAGGAAAGATCAGCAAATTTGGGACCTTTGCCCTTTTGCAAATACAAGAGTAGACAATTTGTTTTTAAATTTGACATCTGTCTTATATACTCTCTACAAGTTAACTAGAGAATCTCTCCGTGGTGTGAAAGACATTCATGGCCAAAACTGGTCACAAAATACAGGAAATCTACGGTGACTCCCCGCGATAGCCCCAAATCTGCCAAGCTGGGTCCGAAACTTCATCTTGGTCTTCAGCCTTTATGAACTCACTATCTTGTTTTCCATTATCACCTAGTTTCACAGCAAATTTGTAGTGTGAGAGGAAAATGCAGTCATCTTTCACATCCAGCCATCGTCTTTTAAGAAAGAATATATGAAGCTTAAAGTGTAAATCTAAGGCAATGCTGAGATGGCTGGACCTCCCAGAGCTTTTCATTCTGTTTGTTTTGTTTCCTTTCTTATCCGACAGTGGGATCGTTCTGTGCTTGCACAAGTTCTAACAATAACACCTACTGGTGTTTGCGCACAGTTAATGAGACGCATAATTTTCTTTTCTGCGAGTTCGCAACTGGCTTTTTGGAGTATTTTGATATGAATACAGACCCTTATCAGGTAAGACAATATAATTTCATTTTATGAAGGTTGGATATAGAATAAGCAGAATGCTTAAGAAGAATAAATTTAAATCTGTTGTTCTGCCCTCTTCATTCGCAGCTCACAAATACAGTGCACACGGTCGAACGGGGCGTTTTGAATCAGCTACACGTACAATTAATGGAGCTCAGAGGCTGCCAGGGGTATAAACAGTGCAACCCAAGACCTAAGGGCCTTGACGTGGGTAAGAAAAGGGGAATTATTTTTTCTGCGTTACCTGGAAAATTCTTTGCATTAACAAGTTTTTTGCCTTTGAAATGTGTGTATGCAGAGAAACAGAGTTTGGGGTCCTTCGAGGTGAAACTTTTCCAGCAAATCCAAACATAATTTGATCTCTAAGTTTAGTTCTGGGTGCACTAGTGAGAAACTGAATCCATCAGAAGATCTAGTGAGCATTTCCTTCCAGTCTCTCCTACAAGTCGATTCTACTATTAGTAAACCCCGATTCCCAATAGAAGCATCTATTGGAAGATGAGATTGCTGTCAACAGTCGTGAGATGTGCTCTAAGTAAACCAGGAGATGCTCTTTTACGGAGTGAACTTGGATGGAAACACTCAGCGCCCTGGTCCTGCCTGTCACCATTTGGAGCACCCACAGCTGGATCTCTGCCTATGGCATAGTGAGCTAGAGACCCTGTAGCTCCATCTGAAAATAGAGACGTTGGAGCAGTTCATTAACTTGGAACCTGAACGTGTCGGAGGATTTGTGTGGCATGGGCCAGCTGTTCCTTCCCTGTTTTGCTGATTTCTCCTTTGAGTCCTGGAGATGCGGCTCTTTTCAAGGTGGGCCCCAGCTTCTTCCTGGTTAATAAGAATATTCATTTCTTCTCATTTCTGAAGAAGTGTAAATATCAGCTCTGCCAGAGAAGGAAGAATACCTGAGGTCAGCAAGGGCACCGATGGGCACTGCGAGTCAGCCAAGGGTACAGACCTCAACTCACAGGGCTCTTGGAGAAGTGTGCAGAAGCCCTTTCAATGCGGCCAGTTTGACCTGCATCTGTAGGTCCCCTGGAGAGCCAGCATCTCCAGCAAAAAAAGTGAGCAGCTCTCTGGGTCACGTCATTTGAAGAGAGAAAGGGGTCCCGTTCCAAAATGATCAGCATCCCTGCCTGTCATTTCCACCACAACAGGATCCTAAAGGCTTCCAAGTTATGGACATCCTATAAGAAAACAGAAACCCTGTGAGGGAGATCATATCTCAGTTCTCAATCAGCACCTCTCAGTGAACACTCGGTAGAAATTAAATGCCAGGCAAGACAAGGCCAGACTTGGCAAAATAGATTTTTGAGTCAATGACTCTACTCAAGTCTTTTCAAATATCCTGCTGATCTATTGACCTTTTCCTGAAATCTTACAAAAGGCAAAAAAGAAAGGAAGGAGCAACCCACAAAGGCCTGGAATCTAAGCCAGCTTGTAGAAGCCCTAGAAATATTACACCCAGATATCGGGTCCCAGAACCCGGCTCTCTTAACTCCTCCGGCATGACAGGACCGCTTCGTTTCTTCACGTCAGCGGTGCAGCGACAGCGGGAGCCGTTGGTCTCTTAGTCTTCAGTTGTCCTCTCCTCTTGCGTGACTACCCTTAAGGGAAATTATCATGGGCCCACTTTTCAAGAGTTTTGTCTAAAAATAACCAAAAATTAACTTTTACTGAGAATTACATGGACTTCTGGAAGTACTTTTCTCCCTGCTTCTTTTTTTGGGGGGTACCAGGGATCAAACTCAGGTCCTTGTGCCTGCAAGACAGGCGGTGGAACCACTGAGCTAAATCCCCGGCCCCTTTTCTCCTGCTTTTAAGCGAACTCTCCTGCTTTCTTGTCCCCACCATTTTTCATGGGAACACTTACAGATTTTTATCTTAAAACTTTTTATTTATAACATTCAATCCTCTCCAGTAGAAAAATCTCTTGAATTCCAGCACTGTCTGTATTTAATGTGTTTCCTTCTAGAGTTTAGATGTTCTGTGTGGGAAACTGCACAGAGAGTGGTTGTATAAGTTCTGAAGCTAACATAACTTACTCTTGTTTTTTCCTCTGTCAGGAAGTAAAGATGGAGGAAGCTATGACCTACACAGGTATTCACACTTTTTTGTTCTCAACAGCTTCTTTCCCAAGAATTGCATGATCCCCTCATTCCAACTAATTTCCGTTTCTTACCACATTGGGCAGAGCATTGCCCGTGGTGTGTTTGTTCTAACAGCGTTCCCCTGTACACCTGGTCAATGGGCACAGATCTGTCACTTTGCTTTTAAATCAGTTCACCATCTGGGCAAGATGTGTCCCATGCTTGTGTGCTTGTCGGATGATGGATTTAAGCATGGAATGATGTGAAGGGGAAACAGAACGGCCTTCAGGAGCTCTGGGCGAGGGTGGGGGCTGTATTACTTTTGTTGTGATGCTTGCATGTTGGTTTGGTGGGGAAACTTCACGGAAATGAGTGAGAGATTTTTAGTAAGTGTAACATCAACAAAAGAACTAGTGAGGAGAAAAAAAAGAAGAACGAGTGAGAATTTGGGGGAAACACAAGGAATTTCCTTGTTAATGGTCATTAATCCATTTTGGTGGCAAAAAACAATGGTCATAAGGAGAACTCAAGAGGCTTTGCCAAGTGGTAGTGAATAAAGAGAAGGTGCCGGGGTTAGGCAAGGGCCTGGGATCAAGACACAGAAAGAGGCAGACATAGCCCCGAGACAGTGGTGCCGGATGCAGAAACTCCACCGGCAGCATCAGCCCTGACGTCTTACCCGCTTCAACCATGCTCATCCTGGAGGGGGCCAGACCCCTGGTGGCTTGTCCCGGTCACTCAGAAATGTCAGCCATCGCAGACTTGCTGCTCCAGGCCTCTCAGACGTTGACACATGAGGCAGGTGGGGACCATCCTTACCCCTTCTGCAGGAGGGACACTGAGGCATGGCTGTGTCAGCTAATGAATCCACTTAACGGGAATTTTTCCATCAGGGAATCATGGGCATAATCGGCACCACCCGTATTGACGTCTTCTCGGAGAAGTAGAAGAACATTGCTGTGCAGGATGCCCTGCCATCCCCCCTCCAGCCTCCTGAGCACCGCAGGTGTCCTCAGAGGCTTCTTGTCATTCCCGCCAAGCGACAGTAGGAAAGGTGGTAGGGAGAGGAAAGCAAAACAAAGAAAGGAACTGGAAGGTGTTCTAGAGCTGTACAGATAGCTCTTCTCTTATCTTCCTTCCTTCCTCCTCCTGCCCCCTCAGCACAGGAAAATAAGACAGGGCAAAAGACCCCCTCGGCAATCTCCCTGGGCTGACAACGCCCCCCAGCCCAGAGCTATTTTCCCTGCATCCCCTGGGTCACAGGAAGCCATTTCCGAAGTGTGATGTTGTAAATGGACCTAGCACTCAGTACTGACTTTACAGTTCTTTATGATACACTCCCTTTTATAGCTGGGAGGTTTTCAGTCTAGAGACGTACAGGGTATTAACCAGCTGTTTAAGACGAACACCTGGTCAGAGCTGAGTCCATTATTCCCCACGAGGTCACCCCTGCACAACGTGGAGGGATGTGGACTCTCCGCCTTCCCAGTCCCTGCTCCCACCACGCAGTGGCCACATAACCAGCTGTTCCTGAGGTCACTGACACAGCCTTGGTAACCGCAGCTGCAGAAAACAGAAATGACACGGCGTTACCTGCTGCTTTCCTTTGTCCTTCTTCCTCCCGTCTTCCTCTTCCTCCTTCCTTTCTCCCCACTATTCCTCTTCCTTCTCCTTCATGATTCCTTACCAAGGGCAAAGTACAGTTACTTTATAACTCACAATAACTGGCATTTTCGGGCTCCATCATTTCCCAATCCATACGCCGTCTCATGGCAGCTGTCCACGCTGCCGACTTGGTCACTGAGAGAACATCTGCCTTATCACAGCGGGGGCTGACTCCCTGGGCCCCACGAGCAGTGCTGGCCATGACCTTTCCTGCTCAGCATCTCTGTTGGGTCGAATGGGACCAGATGTGAAGGAAAGCACTGTGTTTGAGGAAGTGCTGGCAAGCCTGCTGCCAGGACGGTGCTGCCCATACACTGTTCTCCACTGGTGGCCTGGCTTACAAGCTTGTGGAAGACATGCCGGGCATGGGGGCGCATGCCTGTAATCCCAGCACTAGGGAGGCTGAGGCAGGAGGATCACTGTGAGCTCAAGACCAGCCTGGACTACATAGTGAGTTCCAGGTCAGTCTCAACTACATAGTGAGACCCTGTCTCAAAAAACGAATTAAAAAAAAAAAAAAAAAAGACTTGGCCAGTTTTAGAAAATGAATTAAAATATATTTTAAATCGTGAAATTTGATGACAGAAGACCTTGAGAGATGATGATAACAAGCAAATTGGAAATTGGAAAATTCACCAGGGTAGTTTATTCAGGTTTTGGGGGGACAGGAGAGGCAGGACATTGATCAGGGTCTTCTTACATAGCCCAGACTGACCTAAAGCTCATCATGCGCCTGCCTCAGCCTCCTAAGCGTCGGAGTCATACAAATACACCATCACAGCAAGAATCTCACCAGGGTAGTTTCAAAAATTTATCTTGTACAAAATGGAGTAATAAGGGCTTTAAACTGCCTTCTTTTTGTGAATTTTCAAAAATTAATCTCCAGGCTTATGTATATGGTCTTCGAAAAGAAAGCCTGTTTCCTGCCCACCTCCCCACCCCCATTATCAGCAGTACGCAATCAAAGCAGGAGCAGCCTAAAGGCTTTTCTTACTCACAGACTTTTCTAGTTGGGATCAGCCAGAGCAACGGCCTTGCTCAAGGAGAGACACCCAAGACTTAGGAAGTAATTTTTCACATGTAGTGAAAGCGGTGGTATCTGTATTGCAAAATAGAGTCAGGTCACCAGGCTGTTGGTCACCAGCAGCCAGACCTGCTGCTGGCATTTGACGTTTGAGAAGAGCTACTGGCAGCTGCGGCTGTGGGCCCAGTGGCTGTGAAGGGGTGGACGGTCGGTTCCTGGCAGCCTTGCTCTGGCAGATCTTCTCCCAGCTGGCAGACCACAGCTCTCATCCACCCGCAGCAGCCTGGCTCTGTCCACATAGCCTTGGCTTCTTTTCATTTCTCCCCCTCACTGAGCAACAGTTTGCATTAAAGACGGCCGTGGGTGACCCAGCTCACGGCACTGTGGTAAAACGCATGGATGCCGGACCAGACTGCCTTGGGCTGCATCCCAGCCTGGCTGGGGTCTGCTGTCAGCGAGGCCTCGCCTGGGGAAAGCACAGCATAACCGTCTGCGGCCTTTGCCTCCCTTGCAGGCAGACAGAACAGGCCCCGTGGGCCTCCTGTGCTCAGAGGGTGAGCAAGGAGCAGCGGTGCGCTGGCCGTCTGCGCTGCGCCGCGAGGGGGCGCACGAGAGGCCTGCCGGCCTTGCCAGTAACAGAATTTATTTCGGGCCATTTGCTGTGTCGTGGACTGGTTTTCTCTTATGTTCCTTTGAGTTTCTGTCTTCATAGTCTACCATTTATTCTTTATGGAGAGGATTGCCTTTAGAGTTTGCCCAGGATTTTATTTTTGCCCAGTGAATTGACTTGGTACTTGTACCTTTTTAATTATGCCCCTGGTCCCTGTTTTCTCATCTTTGTTTGCAATCTGTAGTAAGTGTGTTCATTTTGAGGAACGGATGCACATCCACATCTCATCCTAGTCATTTTCACTTCCCCTGCCTTCATCCCCAGGTCAAAGTCTACCTCCCTGTCTCCTACCAACTCTTTTCTTAGTTTGTTTTCAGTTATTTATATTTTGCATGCAATATTTAACCTTCTGTGTCTCTTAATTTTACCTTTCACTTCTGACCTATCACAGTTCTTGTGTCCTTTGATGCTTGATTAATTACATTTAATGTACTTAGAACTGATGTGTTGTGCTTTACGTCTTGGGTTATTTTGGCCAGAAATGTTTTATGTGATAGATTTTTTTTTTTTTTTATTCTTGTTTTCTTTT